TATGTCTATCAATTCCATTTGTTCACAGGTGTGATTCAGTTCGTTTATCTGTTTGCTGATTTTCTGTCCTGTTGATCTGTCCATTGGTGTCAATGGTGTGTTAAAATCTCCTCTTATAATTGTATTACTGCTAATTTGGTTTTTTATTTCTGATATTACTTGTTTTATATAACTGGGTGCTTTGCAATTTGGTGCATATATATTTAAGATAGTTATCTCTTCCTCTTGAGGTTTTCCCGTAACCAGTATGTAGCGACCTGCTTTGTCTCTTCTGATCATTATTGGTTTGAAGTTCACATTGTCTGCAAACAGAATAGCTACCCCTGATTTTTTTTTGGGTTCCTGTTGCATGAAGTATTGTTTTCCATCCTTTGACTTTCAGTCTGTGAGTATCCTTTTGGGTTAGATGGGTTTCTTGTAGACAGCATATGGTTGGATTTTGTTTCTTAATCTATTCTGCCAGTCTATTTCTTTTAATTAGTGCATTGAGACCATTTATGTGAATGGTTATAACTGTTATATATTGGTTTATTAGTGACATGTTATATTTCTGCTGTTGCATCTTTATCTTTCTGTTCTATGTAATTGTCTGCTTTGTCAATTGGTTTTTTCTTAAGTGTATCTAGACTGTCTTTCAGTATTCTTTGCAGGATTGGCTTGGTGATCATGAATTTCTTCAGCTGTTCTTTGTCGTGGAAGTATCTTATTTCTCCATCAATTTTGAAGGACAGTTTTGCAGGCTACATCAGTCTAGGTTGGAAATCATTTTCCTTTAGGGTCTGAAATACTTCACTCCATGCTCTTCTTGCCTTTATTGTTTGTGTTGAGGAGTCTGCTGTGATTCTGATAGGTTTTCCTTTATAGGGGATCTGTCTTTTTTCTCTGACAGCTTTTAGTATTCTATTCTTTTGTTCAATTTCTGGAATGATTATTATATGTCTGGGTGTAGTTTTATTTTGGTTCTGTCTATTTGGAATTCTATATGCCTCTTTGATCCTGATATCAGTTTCCAATTTCATGTTTGGGACGTTTTCAGCAATTACTTCTCTAAATATCCTCTTGACATCCTTTGTATTGTCTCCTTCTTTTTCATTTATCCCTATCAACCTTATGTTGTTTTTCTTTGTGTCATCTTACAGGTGTTGTATTGTTATTTCTTGATTTCTTGTTATTTTTAAAAGATCTTTGCTTTCCTTTTCACTGGGTGCAATCTTGTCTTCGAGGTCCGAAATTCTCTGTTCGCATTCATTCAGGCAGTTTTTACAACTTTCAATGTTTCTTTTGGTTTCCTGTATATCTCTTTGCATCTGTTTTTTTTTCTTTTTTTTTTTTAAATTTTATTTGAAGAGAAAAAAAGAGAAAGGGTACAAGTTATACAGATTTACAGAAAAAAATAAACAGTAGGAAATCACTAGTTAATGGAGTACATATTGTCATCTTAGAAACAATTGTTCAAGTCACAAAATTAAAGCTTGTGAAGTGGACATTCCAACAGTGAGACTGCAAACAGTTTTGTTCAGTGATCCAACAAAACTCAGTGATATCATTATCTATCTTATACACTTATATATACATGCAGTTATATCGTTTAGAGCACTTTCTTTTCCTCTCTTTTGTACAATGACAATTACCCATTTTGGGTTTTGTTGCTCCCACAGTTCTTATTACTTTTTTGGAAGGGAGTAGAACCAAATGTGACATAACAGTACAGAGTTAGTCAAATCAAAAGGGTGGACATAATAGATAATGTAAAAACATAATACAAGGTGATCAACAATGGTTACCATAATGCCTCCTGCTATCTCTAATAGAATTGCCTATATCATCAGTTATAATAAAATTGAACAAAACAGTAAAGAACAAAACTGAGAAAACCAAAACATTGGAGACATTATAGGTCTTCAAAAGTAGATAATAGTCAACGAGAATGGGCGTTATAATTAATCTCACTATCTTCACAGCTGTTGCTTAAACTTTCGAACCTGGTACTATCCAGCAAAACAGAATAGGGGGACATCAATCAAAAACAAGATGGTAAGAGTAGTACAGGGCTTTAAATCAAGATAATGGAAAGTCAAAGTGGGTTACTATAATATATCCTGCTATTTTTTATTCATTTTTCCCTTAATTAAAAGGCTAAAAATAAAAAAGTAAATAATGAAGTGGAGATTGAAATAAAAGCGGGCATAACAGCAAAACAGCGCAGATCAAAACATAACCATTTAAGCAGAATAATGTTTCACCACAAGATAATCCTGACATAAAAGTAATTACCATATTGTCTCTTCCCTTGAAATGTTTGAGTATAACTTCGTATACTGTAGCATCAAATATATCAAAACAATGTAAAACCATTTAAGAGAATGACAGCATTATGGGGTATTTAGAATCAACCAACAGAAAACGAACAATGGTTTCTGTATAATCTCCTTGTCTTTAAAACTTTTTGCTTATACTATCATACATAATAAAATCTAGTAAGATACAACCTGTTTATACTAATGGAGACAGAAGAACAAAAGCTTGATGAAACTTCAAAACAAGATGATACTAAATCAGTATTACCTATTAAGATGTCATTTTCTCCAAAATAGGTGTTCCTATTATCCAATCTTCTCTGCCTCATTTCTGTTGAGCTCTTTTTCTGTCATTAGTTGTCAGTTTGTCTTCTTCATTTTGTTTTCTGCTCCATTCATTGTGGCCTCTCTGCCACTATTTCTGGATTCTTTGTATGTTTCTTTTTTAGAATATCCTGCAGTATTCTCTGTAGAGTTGACTTGGTGGTTGCATATTCCCCTAGTTCCTCTTTATCCTGGAAGCACCTTGTTTTTCCATCAATTTCCAGGGATAGTTGTGCAGGATATATCAATCTTGGCTGGAGATTATTATCTTTCAAAGTTTGAATTATTTCCCCCCACGCTCTTCGTGATTTGATGGTTTGTGCAGAGAAATATGCTGTAATTCTGATGGGTGTTCCCTTGTAAGTGGTCTGTTTCTTTTCTCTGACAGCTTTTAATATTCTGTTCTTGTATTGAATTTCTCGAATTTTAATTATTATATGCCTGGGTGTTGCTCTGTTTGGGTTGTAGGTGGCTGGGGTCCTGTATGCTTCATACAACTGAGTATCTTTACATTTTGCTAAATTAGGAAAATTCTCCTGGATTATTTCTGTGAATAGCTTTTGTAGTTCTTTTGTTTGTGTCCCTGCTTCTTCTTTTATGCTCTTAATTTTTAAGTTATGGATCCTCTTATCATCTTCTAGTCTTTGTATTATTGCTGTTTGTTTCTTTGTTACTTTTAAGTTTTTCATTTCATTCTCCCATATTACAAATCTGCCCTCCAGTTCAGATAGTCTGTCCTTAGTTTCTTTCAAGCTGTTATGCCAGTTTTTGATAGAGTTTTTAGTTTCCTGGTAATCTCTTTGAACCTGCTTCATGTATTCTATGGTTTCTCTATTTTCTCCATCAAACAATTCTCCCCTCTTTTTCGATCTTCCATTCCACCATCTGTTTTTCTTGGGTGGTGCTTAGCATTTCTCTAACTATTCTGCTTATGTCTAGCTTCAGGTCATTAATAACTTCATTCCTGAAATGATCTATGAGGCTCTCTAGATGGTGCTTTATGTCTATTGGTGCAGTGTCCGCTATTGCCTGTTTCTCAGGATTGGGGGCTGAAGGGCCTTTCTTGTTGTTCCCTCTTCCCATATTCTTTGTTCCTTATATATGCAAGCGTATATAGGAGGCCCAGCTTCCTTTCCTGTCAGCCACAGTCTGATTGAATTGCGCTGGTTAGGTGTTCCCGCCCACCACAGCACACCAGGAAGTTGCAGATCAGGCAGCCTACGCGGGGCCCGCCCCTCTAGGTTTGCATCTGTTTTATATATTGCTTGTTTCTTATATTGTTCAACCAGAGATTCTATCCTTTTGTTTAGTTCCTCCAATTTTTTAGCTGTGTTTTCTTTAGATATGTTAAGCATCTCCTTCATTTCTTTTATTATTTCTTCTTTTACTGATATATTATTTCTAATTTGAATTCCTTCAAAGCTTCCCAGAGCTGCTTCTTTATTTCTGTTACTATTGTTTCAGGTATTTCAGGTATATGGCATGTATTTTCTTCTATGTACATGGCTCCTAGGCTTTCTTGGGGGGATGGGTTGGGTGTTTGAGATTGCATTTTGGTCTTTTGTTTTGTCATTTTCCTATATTACTGTGTTTCAAGTGTTGTTTCAGAGTTTCCCCTGGTTGTGTTGTAAATTGACTCTTATGTCCTGGGCTCTTGGGACTGCTCTTGTAGTAGCTCCCTCCTGGGGCAACAGAGCCTCTGGATTAAAAGAGGCTTGCCAGGCTCCTCTCAGGTAGACCTAAAGCTTCCTCAATTTGTACAGTTTCAGGGCCGGACTGGAGTCGCCTCCGCTCAGCTGGATGCGCACCATAGGGTCCCCAGAGGTGGTAGTATGGGCCCTGGGCGGGAGAGACGGCAGCAGGGCCGGCCTCTACTCGGTTGGATGTGCACCTTCCTGTCCCCAGTGGTGGTAGTCGGGCCCTAGGCGGGAGAGGCAGCAGCAGGGCCATCCTCCGCTCGGCTGGACGCTCACCTTCCCGTCCCCAGCGGTGGTAGTTTGGCCCTGGGTGCGAGAGGCGGCAGCAGGGCCGGCCTCTGCTCAGCTAGATGCGCACCTTCCAGTCCCCAGAGGTGGCGGTATGGGTCCTGGGCGGGATAGGCGGCAGCAGGGTCGGCCTCCACTCAGCTGATGCCTGCTTCATTTTGTTTTAATGAGACAGGCTTTTACTACATAGTGCAGATGACCTTGAATTCACTAAGGAGCCTACACTGGTCTCGAATTCATGACAATCCTCCCGCCTCAACCTCGTAACTACTGGGATTACAGATACACACCCCATGCTTGATTCTCAATTTGGCATTTAATGAGAGGAGTTAAGATATTCTAGGCTGTGATTCTCAACCCTCTTTTAAGACTTATATGTCTGATCCTTTCATAGGCAGTGACTTTTGAGGATGTGGCTGTGAAGTTCACCTTGGAGGAATGGGCTTTGCTGAATCCATCCCAAAGGAAGCTCTACAGAGATGTGATGGGGGAAACCTTTAGGAACATGGCTGCTATAGGTAAGGATGACATCTATTTCTCACTTATACTGTCAGAGAATATTGTTTGTTCATCATCAGTGCTGTTTCCCTAAAAAGAATGTGAAAACATTTTGAACAATAGCTCAGGCTTGTTTCCATTATATCAGAAATCTAATTGAAATCTTTTAATATTTATGTATTGTTATAATGAGTCTTTATATTTCTGTGTCTACAATTCAGGAAGAGCTGAAGATGACCAGGAAGTTGAAAAAGAATACAAAAATTACTGGGGATATCTAAGGTAATTTGCACTCACAAGAAAAAAGAATGTTACTCAATAGTCACTGTGTGAGCAAAAACATGAGAGTCAAGGAAATGAGGCAAAGTTCAAATTTAAAATCACAATTATTCTCTGAGGATGTATACAGGTTGAGTATATATAATCTGATAATTCAGTCATGAAAATGTATGAAATTGCATTAAGGGATTGTATGTAGATGTATGTGAAAACAATAAACTTTGTGTGTATTTTAAAATATTTTTTTACTTTAAAAACTAAAAGGACGGAAATGATACAGAATTTCAAAAAAATAGTAGTTAATACATTGTATATTGTTATCTTAGACTTACTCAGTTTAGAAGATTTAGGCATGAAAAAATAATTCATCAAACAATGAAAACACAAACTGTTCTTTCTGATGATCTCACAGAGATTAGTATAGTTGTCTGTCTTGCATATGCATACACACATACATATGTATACCTATTACATGTAATCTTTTCCCTTCTTCCTTTCCTCCTTTCTCCTGTCCAAGATGTTCTTTGCTTTTGAGAACTTTATTTCCCTTTCATTGTCACAATTTCTGTTGTACATTTTGGGTCTCACTACTCTTTCAGTTTTGTTTTTACACTAGGGAGACAATATGATTTTTATAAATGTGAGTTTGGTTTATTTCACTTATGACTATGGTCTCAAGTTGAATCCATTTACCTATAAAAGCCTCACTGTGATCTTTCTTTATAACTGAGTAGTACTCCATTGTATGGAAGTACCACATCTTTTTTATCCATTCCTCATTTGATGGGCATTTGGGTTGTTTCCAAGATTTGGCTATTATAAATTGTGCTGCTATAAAAATGAGTCCACATGTATGACTGTGATATGATGTTTTCACTTCTTCTGGGAATATCCCCAGAAGTGGGATAGCTTCATCAAATGGGATCTCCAATCCAAGATTTTTGAGGAACCTCTACACTGATTTCCACAGTGGTTGCATCAGTGTACACTCCCACCAACAGTGAAGAAGGGTCCTTTTTTCCCCACAGCCTTACCAACATTTGTTATTGGTTGATTTCTTGATGACAGCCATTCTTTTCAAAGTGAGATGGAATCTCAGTGTTGTTTTAATTTGCATTTCTTATATGATCAGTGATGTTGAACATTTCTTCATGTATTTTTTGCCATTTGTATTTCTTCATCTGAGAAGTACGTATTCATTTCAGATGCCCATTTTTGGATTGGGTCTTTGAATTTAAGGGGCCTGATGTTTTTCAAATTTTTGTATGTTCTAGATTAAGTCTTTTGAGGGATAGTTGGTCAAAATTCTTTCCCAACCTGTGGGTTTTCTTTTCACTCTGTTGGTGATTTCTTTTGAAGTATAAGAACTTTTTAATAAGATGAGTTCTAGTTGTTGATTCTTTGAAGTACCTCCCATGCAGTTTACATTTTGTTCATGAACTCTTTGCCTACCTTTATGTCTTCCAAGATTTTTACTACTTTGTCATCCACTAGAGTTAGTGTTTCTGTTTTAATATTTAGATCTTTAAGCAATTTTAACTTTAGTACATGGTGATAGACATGGGTCTAGTTTTTAGTCTTCAGCATATGGAAAGCTGATTTTTCCAGCACCAAGAAAGAGGCTTTCTTCCAATGAACATGTTTGGTCACTTTGTCAAAGGTGGTTGAATGTCTTTGTAGTTGAGTCTGCATCTTCTGATCTGTTCTATTGATCCTTAGGTCTGTTTTTGTGCTAGTACCATGCTGATTTTATCACAATAGCTTTGTAGTATAATTTCAAGTCATAAATAGTGATGCCTCCTGCCTTGCCTTTGTTACCTAGGATTGTCTTTCTGAATCTAGGTCTCTTCTGTTTCCAAATAAATGTTAGGAATATTTCCTCTAGATCTATGAGGGATGTTAATGGTATTTTGATCAAGATTGCATTAAATTTGTGTACCAGTTTTGGGAGTATGGCCATATTCAGTATGTTTGTTCTTCCTTGATGGATGATCTGTTTCTTTTCTCTAACAGCTTTGGGTATTCTGTTTTTATGCTGAATTTCTGGGATCTTGATTCTTCTATGTCTGGATATAGATTTATTTTGGTTATTGCTGTTTGGAGCCCTATATGCCTCACTTATCTATGTATCAGATTTTTTTCCCATGCTTGGGAAATGTTCTGGTATTACTTCTGTAAATAGTTTTTTAATGTCATTTGCATTGACTCCTGCATTCTCATTGACACCTTTGAGTCTTATATTGGTTTTCTTTGCATTATCTTGGAATTGCTGAATTTTTATTTCATAGTCCCTTGTTATTTTTAATAGTGCTTTCCTTTCATGACCACTTACTGCAATTCTGTCATCAAGGTCTGAAAGTCCGTTTTCAGTTTCATTCAAGCAGTTTTGTCAGCTTTCAGTGGAATTTTAATTTCCTGAATATCTCTTTGAATGTGTCTCATGCATTCTGTTTCTCTCCTATATTGTTCATTCAAGGTTTCCTTCATTTTCCCATGTTCCTGTAATTTTTATCTGTGCCTTCTGTGGCTATTTTGAGCAAATCCTTTATCAAGGTTGTTATTTCTTTATTTACCTGCGAGATTATTTGTAATCTGATTTCTTCCATAGCCTCATAGATTTGTTTCTTTTTTTCACTTGCTAGCTTTTCAGCAATTTCAGGCCTGTGACTTCCAATGTGCCCTATTTCAGTGTCTTCTGTACTTGTTCCTGTTGTGCTAGGCACTTGAGATTGCATTTTGCTATTTTGTTTTGTCATTTTCATCTCTTGGGTTAATATATTGGTCCTTTCAATCCTGCAAGTCTAGACTATACTGTAAGTCTTAGGGTCCTACTGTGTGGCTGATGTTCACTCAGTCACTTGGTCCTACAATGCAGGGGAGGGGCCAGTCACCTGAATTCCTCCTGCAGGGCCAGTTGAGTAAGTCCTATATTCTTCCTGGGTGACTAGCGTAGGATCATTGATGTGAACCAACCCTTAGTTCATGTTGTTACTGTGGCTTTAGGCCAGACCCACCTGTCCATAGTGTGTACCCCAGCCAGGACTGTGGGGTTCTTGCAAGCCCAGTTGGGTTCCTTCGGGGCGGGGGAGCCTTGCCAGCACTCTTGCCAACCCACCTGGAGTTTTCTGTGTGGAAAGATCACCTTCACTGGCGCAGGTACACTAAGGTCCTCTGGGTGGGTGGAGGGTTCATTGAGATTCCTGCTGACCCAGTGAGGACCTCTGCTTTGGGGGAACTCGCTGTATTCTTGTCAGCCCACCAAGATCCTCAGGGTGTGGGGAGAGGTTGCTGAGGCTCCCACTTGTCCACTGAGGTGGTGCAAGTGTTGATAGGTGTTGCTGCTGAGGGCTCCTGGGTGCCGATGATCCTGTGGGCTGCTGAAGTCTTTCAGGTGTCAGTTAGGGGAAGCTGAGGCTCCCTTGGGTGCTGAGGATGTCCAGGTGTTGGGGGGGGGGGGTGGCCAACAATCCCATTGACTGCTGAGATTGTCAGGATGTGGAGTAAACTTTTGTGTTTTGACAGGAACTCATCTGCAGGATGTCTATGGATACCTGCGAATATAACACATGTAGTATTTAAAAATTGCTAACCTACTGGCAATATTCAAACTAAAAGTTAATACAGTGTTTCCTTATGTTTTCCAAGCCATTCTATAGAAAATTGAGCCCATTATGATTTAATATTCTTAGAGGGCACCCTACACATTGTTAGTGGAATGCTAAATACAGTCACTATGATGATCAGTACACGGATGTCTCTAAAAGTTGATCAAGACATGCTTCTCCTGGGTATATTGTCAAAAGACTCAAAATCCTTACTTTGGAATCTAAAAAAAGAAAAAAAAAGACTCAAAATCCTCATTTTATATACATGGAAGCATACCATAGTCAATGCAGGTCAATTTATAACTGGTAAGCCCTTGGATCAGCTTAAATATCTTATCACTGGATGCCTGGATAAGGAATGTTGCTTATGGACTCCATGTGATTGTACATTCTTGTCAACCCAGAATCTTCAGAATGGCAAGTTGAAGCTTTACCTGAATAGCTTTATCACCAATGACAATCTATCCAGATAATAAACAAAAACCTGGAGATTTTGTGCAAGACTTGTGTTTTATTTCCAACACTAAAAAGGGAAAGGAAATGTGCTTTATAATCAGCCAAAAAGATAAATAATATAATGTCCTTTGGCAAAAGAAATAGTTGAATCTTCCTCTCATAATGTTAAATAAGATAACTCACACACAAAATGAGAAATATCACATAGTTCCTCTTATGTGAGAAACCAGAAATTAGAAAATAAAATAAAGGAAGTGTACAGACAAAGGAAAGAATAATGTGTTGCAGATGGACTAGACAAACAGGGTAAGGAGACAAGGGAGAGGATATATATATATATATATACCCATTACCCAGAATGAAGATAAGCATTCTGTGTTTCAAAAATATACCAACTTTAAAATTGCCAAATGAATGTCACTCTTTTGGAAATGACTTTTTTGAATATATCCTGCAAGGCACTCAATTCATTGTCAAAATTTCTTAGCAGGCACCAAAACAGAATTGGCTCTGGTAAAACATTAATATGAAGACCCATTTTATTGTGACATTTTTCTTTGCAGAAATGAAGAGATAGAAAAATACTATCGAGATAAATCTTGGAATCAGTGTAAAGAAGTATTCCATTATACTCCAGATGCTAATGTGGATGTGAAAGAGACAGACACACACAGTGATGTTCAGATCAATGAAAGCAATCACACTGGAGGGGAACCCTATGTATGTAAGCAATGTGGAAAAGCTTTCAAGTGGCATAGCGATTGTGAAAGACATGAAAGAACTCACCCTGGGGAAAAATCTTTTGTGTGTAAGCACTGTGGGAAGGCTTTTTCTAGGTGCCATGATTGTAAAACACATGAAAGCACGCACACAGGGGAGAAATCGTATAAATGTAAACAATGTGGAAAAGCTTTCAGTACACACAGATACTGTCAAAGACATGAAAAAATTCACACTGGCGAGAAACCCTATGTATGTAAGCAATGTGGGAAAGCCTTCTCCACACAAGGATCTTGTCAAATACATGAAAGAATTCACACTGGGCAGAAACCCTATGCATGTAAACAATGTGGGAAAGCATTCTCCTCACGGAGATCTTGTCGAAATCATGAAAGATGTCACACAGGGGAAAAACCCTATGTGTGCAGACAATGTGGGAAGTCTTTCAGCACAGATGGATATTGTCAAATACATATGCGAATTCACACTGGAGAGAAACCGTATGTATGCAAGCAGTGTGGCAAAGCCTTCATCAGAAACACTCATCGTCGAATTCATGAAAGAACTCACAGTGGAGAGAAACCCTATGTATGTAAGCAGTGTGGGAAAGCTTTTATGAGTTACAGTGTGTGTAAAACACATGAAAGAACACACACAGGGGAGAAACCGTATGTATGTAATCAATGTGGGAAAGCTTTCAGCACAAAATACCATTGTCAGATACATGAAAGAGTTCACACTGGGCTGAAACCCTATATGTGTAAGCAATGTGGGAAATCTTTCAGCACACATGGATATTGTCAAATACATGTAAGACTTCACACTGGGGAAAAACCTTATATATGTAAGCAGTGTGGGAAAGGTTTCACCACACGTGGAGACTGTCAAAAACATGAAAGAGTTCACACTGGAGAGAAACCCTATGTATGTAAGCAGTGTGGGAAAGCGTTCAGCACCCAAGGATCTTGTCAAAGACATGAAAGAATTCACACTGGGGAGAAGCCTTATGTATGTAAGGAATGTGGGGATGCTTTCAAGAGCTACAGCGAATGTAAAACTCATGAAAGAACGCACACAGGGGAAAAACCCTATGTATGTAAGCAATGTGGGAAAGCTTTCATCACAAAATACCATTGTCGAACACATGAAAGAATTCACACTGGGGAGAAACCCTATGTATGTAAGCAGTGCGGGAAAGCTTTCAGCTCAAAACGTCATTGTCAAACACATGAAAGTGTTCATTCTGCAGAGAAACCCTATGTATGTAAGCAATGTGGGAAAGCTTTCAATACAAAACGTCATTGTCAGATACATGAAAGACTTCACACTGGGGAGAAACCCTATGTATGTAAGCAGTGTGGGAAAGCTTTTGCTACAAAGGGGTCTTGTCAAATACATGAAAGAATTCACACTGGGGAGAAACCCTATGTATGTAAACAATGTGGGAAAGCTTTTACCACACATGCATATTGTCAAATACATGAAAGACTTCACACTGGGGAGAAACCCTATGTATGTAAACAATGTGGGAAAGCTTTCTCCACACAGGGATATTGTCATATTCATGAAAGACTTCACACTGGAGAGAAACCTTATATATGTAAGCAGTGTGGGAAAGCTTTCACCAGGCACAGTCAATGTAAAGCACATGAAAGAACTCACACTGGATATTAATTCTATGTATGTAAACTGTGGGAAAGCCTTCACCAGACATATTGAATGTAACATACATGAATGAACTTAGCTGGTTAGAAAATCTGTGTATTTAATCAATTTGGAAAAAATATTCACCAACTGCAAATCTTGGCAAATAAATGAAAGCTCTCACACTGGAGAAAAACCCCAAGTATGTAAGCTGTGTTGTAAAAATTTCAGCAGACACAGTGAATGTGAAATACATTAAAGTACTCACACTAAGAATTCATCCTATGTATGTAAACAATTGTGAATAATTTCAGCACACATAGTGATTGTCACATATGTGAAAGAGCTTTCTGGGCAGAAATCCTATGTGGAGTAGCAGTGTAGGAAAGATGCCATCCACAGACAGTCTTAAATACATGAAAGAACCCTTCCTGGGGAGCAAGTTTATATATGTAAGCCTATTGAAAATCCTGTGGCACTTTTTCTCTTAGTGGAGACCTGAGGAAATAATTAATCCAAAAATTTGGTATCAATTGTTCTTCATGACATTTCCAATACACACAAATCCCAGGTGGAACTATCCTAAAGTACACACATTGTGTGATTTTCAGTAAATAAATTATACATATGTAGATTATATATATGTATAGTTTAATATAGACATATAGAGTTGACATAGTTTTGTATTTTTGAGTGTCTGCCTAATCCAAAGTGTGTTTTAAGTAAATGGTGAACTGAAATGTGCTTTTTATTTTGTGGTAGTTAGTATCTATGTAGTTAATGTTTTATCATTAAAATGGAATGATATAGCTCATTTTAAAAAAGCTTAATTTTTATATCATTTTCTGTTAATTGTTGGCTTATGGCCATATGTTTCTTCTAAATTTTTAGTACATATGCTCCATATTTGGTGTAACAAATTATGTTTCTGAATTCCATGCTACCCTTTATATTAAGATTTATATTTTCAGAAGCTTTTGAACATGTATTTTTGACAACGTTTCAGGTGTTTTCCACACTATAGACTAGAAAATGTTGTATTTTTCATGTTGTGACAAGATACCTGCTTATATTATGACATTGTTGTACCTTATGTCATGTATATAATGTTGCAAGATTTTCTTTTCTACTGGAGACAATGTTCTCCTTTACACAAATTTTTATGTCTTCTTACAGTGAAAATTTTACTTGTTACGTTTATATTACATTGACTTTTAATTTGGTGTTAATTTGTCCACCAAATGTACCAAAAAAAAAAAAAAAGATAAACCATTCTGCTGTAAATTTTTAATATTCTTATACCAGGAGAACCACAACATGGCTCCAAAAGCATATCGTGAATTACAGTAATATCTCTAGAAAGTGTTAATTATGGTGTGTTTTATGATTAATGTACAAAGGTCTAAGCCAAATGTGATTCCTTTAGTCCCAGCAGCAGGAGATGCTTAGATGGGATGATTATGGCATAGAAGGTAATTTTGGGGGCAATTTACCTAGAGGCTACAGGAAACTGAAACAGTTTTCTCTATACCTGAATTTGAAATTTAAAGAATGAAACCAGTTGTGGTCAATAATATAAACATAGCATAGTATTGAAAGCAAAGTATTGCAAATCACTGTGGTTTTGTTCAGGAAATATTTTTTATGGTGGTATGTGTGCAGCAGCCACATATCTGCCTGAATCAGAGTGAAACATAAACAGTGAAACATGAATGAGCCCAGCATCTCATGTTCTGAATGCAGAGATATAAAAATAATTTGTTTTCTCAATACTGTTAACTGGTGTTTTGGACAGAAAATAGAATGACATAACAAAAAGGACTATATAGCATTTAAAAATTCCTACACAAACGTGCTTGCAATTCAACCACAAAGAAGAATGAAGAAATAACCTACAGAATGGGAAAAATTTGCCTCACAGTCCTTGAGATCTAACATCTAAAACAAAAACAAAAATATAGGACAGTGAAATGAATGCACACTTGTCAGAATAAATACAAATTGCCAGTAAGTACCTGAAAAACTGTTGAGCATTTTTGCCCAATATAGAAATGCAAATTGGAACATTATCTCATTCCAGACAAAATACATCACCACAAACTCAAAAGAAAGTTCATGAGGCTGTAGGGGTCTTAAGAGGAACCATTCAGCATCATTGGTGGGAATGTAAGTAGTTCAACTAGTACCAAAGTCTGTGTACAAAATATTAAAAAAATCTGCTGGGCGTGGTGGAGCATACCCGTAGTCCCAGAACTCAGGAGTGAGGCAGGTGGATCATTATTATTTTGAGACGAGTCTGGGCTACAAAGTGAGCTCAAGGCCAGTCTGAACTGCACAGCAAAACCCTATCAAAAAGAAAAAAATATTAAAAGACTATAAGTACTAATTCTGTTTGGTGTAGTGTTTCCTTCTGTGGCTATCTTCCCCGAAGAATTAAAGACATGAGATCTCAGTGACCCGTGTATATCCCTGTTTACTGCATCAGTATTCACTTTTTCTGTGAGGCAGCAGCAGTAAGCACTGCCCTGTCAGCCACCAGATACAAACAATAATAAATGCTCTTCTTTGTACTCCATTAGTAAATTATATGTGATGTCTTCTTGTAAAATGGGCTCAATGTTATATATTTGTACTATACTATGAGTTAATATAAGCATTATATGCATGTGAAGGTAGCAAGGGCATCAGTGTTATGTTCATTATTTTTTGGATATTGAGTGCATTTCAGCTATTTCAGTTGCTGATACATTGCCACTTTAAACCTCAAGGAACAGCTGTAACCACCTCATCTTTATTGAGGTAATGATGCACATAACACCAACCTCATTATATTCTCTCCTGGGTTCAGTGCTGTTACTGCACTGCAGTGAAACATACATATACATGTGTATATAAAAGTTTCTTTTGCTACTTTTCTTAGAAAAGATTTTGAAAATATTCCTTTAGTGAATGGCTACTGAATATTCAAATCAAGATAGAAGGTTAAGAACAAGAAGAATCAATGAAACATACAACCCTGAGGGAAGACATAGAAGAAGCCTAATAAAGATTTGTGTTCAAGACTGAACACGAGTCTGATGTTGAATGATGACCCCACTAAACGTCAAACCTATTTAAGACAATTCAAGTATGCAGAAGTTTCTCTTCCACTTTTTTTTGGTTCACCAATGCCAAATCCTTTTGCATATTAACACTTTTTCCTCATGACAGTTTTTTTTCCCACTCAGATCAGTGGCCCACATATCAATTATTTTCTCTAGAAGGACACACAACCATGCAGGTTTTATGAAATATCTTCATCAAGTCATGCTGATGACAAGATTAATAATCCAAGATCTAGAAAAATCTTAAAATTTTTATTACTACATGTAATGTAATTAAATAAAATTTATATTACTACATGTAATGTATATTTACTTGGTTATCAGAATGTTGTACATGTAAGCAGTGCATCTGAACTTAAGAGAATAAAATAAGACAGAATAAAGCTAATCAGAAGAGCAGTGTAAGTTATACAGAAATTCAAAACAATGATAGGAAATCAACAATGGTTACATAATGTCTCATCTTCAAAATTACTGCTCATACCATTAGAATCAGCCAGTTGCTTATGGGGTTTGGGTGTCTTGTCTCCCAGCCCATGTGCTAGTTGACTCACGAGAAGGGTTCTTGTCCTTGTTAGTCCTCCTAGCATGGCTTCTGCTAACTCACAGGATGGGCACATTGGGCTTGTTCTCCTGGGATCCGCATAGCTTATGCCAGGTCACAGGAAGGGCATGAACTCTATTTCACCTTCAGTCTCCTTTCTCACCCTTTCATCATTTCTTCATCCTATTTCCATTTGTATACTATCTTTGATGTTCCAGATACTTGTCTTTTGTTTTTTCTTATAAAAGTAAAATTAAACAGTATCCTTGAAAGCAAATTTGTTCATCTCTACATAGCAGCTTCCTAAATATATACAAGTGTATAAGAATATCAGTGTCCTTTATATATTTCTAGAGAAAATCCGCAGAATGATTCCAGTGAAGAGAATCCTGCATGATGGGTAAGAGGCCACATTGTGACCTTAGAAATGGAAACCCACAAATGTGAAGCATGAGCACATCTTGATCACAAGCATTTAAGTTCAGTGCACAAAAACAAGCATCAGATTCACGTACCAAAATTTTTCATGAAGGGATGCTGGGTTTTGAGCTACAAGCTTTGCTCTGAAAAATCCAGTACATGTGTTAAGGGATGTGACAGCAGGTATGGTAATCGTGTCCCTCTTTATCCACATGTTAATTCTGCCAGATTAGTAGGGTCTAATATTAACAATTCCAATACTTAAAATGACAAGGTTCAAATCAAGTGCTATTCTTAGTAACATGATTAAATCTCATGCCACTTTGATCCATCGTTTATCTTAATGGATCTCATCATAACAGTTGTGTGATGTCACACTGTTAAAAGAAGGGTGAGTACAATAACGAGAGCAACATTTAGAGAAAAACAGCACATTCACATGGCACCATTTGCACTGATTTTAATAACCATTTCGGTATCCATTAATGTAAATATTTGCATAATTAATAAATTTTTATAGATGTATATGCAAAGCTATGTGTGTATTTTATTTCTGTCTTCTGTTGGAAGCATAGATTTGGCACATGGATTCATATGCCAAGCAGATAAGGGGGCAGTATGTTTTTATTTTAATAGTTTCCTGATCCTGTATGTGTGGCTTGTCACAGCAGAAGAAAGGACAGAAGTGGTCTGAGGTCACATGACTGACTAGCTTGCCAAATGATAAAAAGTGTGTACAGTGCCAAGAACAGCCACTCTTCCACTCCCATGTCTAAATCACACCAGTTCTTGAAAACTTTCTATCTTGGTGCCAGGGCATTTCTGTAGTTTCACATAGGGTGTGATCGATGCTGAGAAGGAATAAGCCTGGATCAAGTATAAATTTATGAAAGGAAAATACATCTTTAGGACATTCAACATGTACTCTAGAAAATACTTTGTGGGTTTATGGTAATGGAGGTGAAGGAGAGAAATATTTTTCAATGGCAGAGTGAATAGAAACATCAGAGAGACAGTACCAGGAAACAAGCATCACCTTCCTGTGAAGTTCCCCAACCCTATTAGATTATGTATAAGTATTTATAGAACTTTTTTTTTTTTTTTTTTTTTTGTCTTTTTCATTTTTATCGGTACCGGGGATGGAACTCACGACCGCCTGCTTGCAAGGCAGGTGCTTATGCCGCTGAGCTAAACCTCCAGCCCCAGAACTTTTATTCTCAAAGGCATCTTATTTTTTCATTTTTAAATAAACAGAATGTGTCTCAGCATTTCCCTTTGCTTCATCAGATAAGATAAAAGGAATCATGCATTGCCACAATGTCATGTTTAAAGATTCAGATTCATCATTCTTGTCTTACGTAATTTACAAATGTTATTGAGATGCATGTGAATCACGTCTTCAAAATGAGACCAAACTGGAGCCCACAGAGAAAGAGCAATGAATTTCCCTTGATGCGTTCTGGACAGCAGCTTCCCTGTAGGTGGCCTCTGGCTGGAGAGAACACAACAGTGAAAAGCTGCACAGCAGTGGAGAGAGATGCATGCAGAGGCTAGAAGTGACAGCCGTTAATGCATATTTTCTTTCTGAGGTTGTGATCTATTTTCCTTGTAAGTTTCTACAGATGATTTTGATTTTGGCATGCAAAAATTTCGTCAATCTCTAATTTATATATATATTAAATATTGTATATATTATATATATTAAATATTTGTTATCAGCCTCAAAGATTGATTCTTTTATACAGTTTCTGTATAAAAGACTAAGGGACTAAGAATGATGAATCTGACACATTAGTGAGAAGCTTTAAGTGACTCCAGCTAAGGGTCTTCCTTTAGTAAATATTAGGGCATAAGAAGTTTCATTTTCCCACTGGGAAAAGGGAGTCAGCTCCCAGACTTAATATTTTTACTTTTTGTTGCCTCATCACCAGGATTTTCTGTGGCACACTTCCAGTAGTAAATCTCTCCCTCTACACATGAGGAGCAGCTGAAGCTGAATCACACATGTGAAGCTAAAAATGGCCAACCCTAAGAACATGTAGTCAGAGTTGAGCCCAGTAAGCAAGCTGTTCCAGTTCCAAGAGAATGAGGTGCTCAGGTGAGCCATACAAAATTGCCTAACAGAGGGATTGAAATTCAGTGTATAAACAAACGTGCTGCAGCGGCTGAGCAGGAGTGGAGGAGAAGAAGTGACTTCATCTTCAGTTCAAGGAGCCAGAGAGCAGAAAAGGAGCCTAAGATAAAGGATCCAGGGACCACAGTTGGTCCATCAGGTCGAACTCACATGACTCCACCAGATAGACTCAAAGATATACGTTACTAAAGTCCTACACATCCCTGAAGCCAACAATTTGTTAACAAGTGTATCACATGGCTTCAGGTAATCTATTCTTTTGAGAAATCGTAAAGTCTTAGGCAAAGCTTCATTCTGTGAAGAGGGAATTATAGAGCATGAGGAATTTAGAGTTGGAAATCCATAGGTGTCTCTGCCTCATCACAAGGAAATGGTAAAGTGGATGAGGAATGCCGTTCCATTTCAGCAAGCTTTGTGACCGTTATGCTTGGCAATGTGCTTACTCTCAGAAATCAGATTTTTTTTTTTTATGACCACGGTGAGTATCAAGGTTGTCTGGGAGAGTTGAAGTGTTTGCTTTTGTTTCAGTTTTTTTCTCTTGCAGAATATTGCTACTATTAGCTAGGGGTGTTACCTCTGAATTAGTGGCTTATAGAGCTAGGCCTGATCATAGACATTGTTTCAGTAGTGAAACAGAGAATTCTAAAGAAGGAGCACTAACATAAAGGAGAAGACACAAATACAAGTTGTGCAGGGAGATCAAAGGTTAGGCATGAAAAGTTTTCTGTTTAGCGTGAATGAAATGAGAGTGGAAAGGATGTGAAAGCGAATGGCACCGGGTATGTAGCTCAGCAACACAAATGCCTGCCTGGCAATCACAAGGTCCTAAGTTTTCTTTCCAGTATTATTGCCCAAAATGGAAAGAGGGAGAGAGAGAGAGAGAGAGAGAGAGAGAGAGAGAGAGAGAGAGAGAGAGAGAGAGAGAGAGAGAATGGCATGATAGAGTGTCAGTAGTAGGACTCACAGTGTGGAAGATCGTCTCTGAAAATGATTGTTCTTAGGGTGAGCATGAAGGAAGAATTGTGTTTTTGCTTCATTTTTGAGTTAGCCAAAACTAGTCATAGGCTTGAAGAACAGAAGAGAACTTAATAGATAAATGTGTTCTGACATCACTGATCAGTTTATGTTATCATTATTCTTGAGACGATGTCTGACTCTGGAGCTCACACTGACCTCACAATCACAGCAATCCCCCTTCCTGACGCTTTTGAGTGCAGGTATTTCAAGTGTGTGCCACCACATCCAGCCATGTAATCATTATTGAGGCAAAATCGGAAACTAGGAAACTGTCTGGCCTTGGTGTAGGTTAAAAAAATTTGTGGTACAATCATTGAAGTAAAATGAAAGGGGTTCCTCTAGGAGATGGAAGATTTCAAGGTGTTGTTGTTTTTATTGTAGAGAAACAGTTCTGGAAATTTGCTCAGAGCTATGTACCCCAAAACTTTCAATGTTTAATTTTGTTTTTAAATTTGAAGGTCATGTCTTGCTATGTTGTACTGTGTCTTGTTCTTTTGATAGTTTTTGAACCTCATTGACTTGGTTTGACATGTTTGTGCCATTATCCAAGTTTAAGATTGGGGTTCATTATTGCTCATGATTTACCAAGATTTCAGTGCTTGGGTAATCTTTTTTTTTGAGACAGTTTTCTGCTGTGTAATTCAGGCTGGCCTTAAACTCATTGTGTAGTGCAGGTTGGCCCTGAACTAATGGCATTACACTTGCCTCAGTGTCCCCACAAGTGCTGGGATTACAGTAGTGCACTACCACACCTGGCTAGTGCTTGGGTAAAGTAAAAATTAGTGAGGCATTGTGGTTCACCCCTTTAGTGTCCAACACATAGGAGACTATCAGAAGTATTACAGAACCGAGTCTGGATAATTGAGTAAGATCCTGTTTCAATATGTAGTATTAATTCTGTAATTTACCTCCACTGAACAGTAAGTCATTTAACGTACATTGATCCTGTGATAAATGTTCAGTACTGTACAATGAAAGAAAAACAATTCAGGGGAAATCTTACCCTGCATTTTGTATTTTTTTCCTTTTTTGTACACAAGTGATACATAGTAAATATGTGCCCATAACAGTGGAGAGCAGCGAAGAATCACTCTTTTGTCAGCAACAGCACAGCAGGGGTGAACAAGTAGTGATTTGAAGTGCATCATATTAAAAGAAGTGCATGAGATATATTGTATTTTCTTAATGATTTTGTCTTGTGTTACATATATGTCTCCAGGCATCAAGTAAGTGAGTTGAGCAGGCTAAAGGATCCAAAGCTTAGCAGTAATGTTTTCTTGACCGTGAATATTCTGTAAATTTTCAACACATTTTCTTTTGAACTTCCCTTGGATTGATTGTGTTATTATTTTGTCTTTCTCGGTCATGCAGTATAATATCCACTGTAACTCTATAAAAAGTCCACTATAAAACATAACCATCAGATTGTTTCCTTTTTTGAGAGCTCTATTAATCAGGTTCCCCAGAGCAGCTGACTCAAAAGAACACTATGAGTGGTGCTTGGAAAAGGGAACACTATTCTGGATTTAAATTTTTGTTTCTTTGTTCGCTTCAATTTGGTTTGGTTGTTTTTATCATTATTAACATTATAAAGAGGTGCCCCAGTATGATCATGCTGATTGCATGATTGCATCAGCATAAAGGAATTGGAGAGTGATTTTCACTGATCAGACACAAGCCTGAGCAGTTGGAAACAAGTTGTCAAGCATGTGCATGGCTGAAGAGAAAACACTTCCATTCCTAGTTCTAATTATGCTGATTTTGGATATCCTTCTGTTTGAACGTTAGGTAAACATGTGTCTTTCTACTCTAGATGGTCCACTCATGTAATCCCACTTGTATTTTCATGACATTAAAGGGCTGAAGGCATATCTGTCCGATAATGTTACTTGCACTGATTTGTATCTCCATGGAAAAAGAGATTACAAGGGCTTCAGTCATATATTCTGTGAATTCCAATTGACTATGAATTCCAATCCCCCTAAGTTCTCTTGGTTGCCCACACACTGAGGACAGACCTTCCATGTTGGTATCCTGGAGATGCCCGTGGGAATGGCCTGTGATACAGCTGAGATAGAGCACAGGGCTGAAGCACCTTTCAGTCTGTATCTCCCTGTGGGTATTATCATGCAGTATGAAGCAGTGGAGCCTGTTCTGCTTTTTCACACTCGTGACATCTGAAATGTAGTACAGGTCATGAGGACAAGGAGAGTGTGCAAGTACAGACACAGTACTTTGTGTAGTCACTGAGATTGAGTTTGGGGGTGCTGAGCTAGAGATTCGGCAGGTCTTGGGATCTGTGCCCATTCCCGTACCTTGTCATTCAAGAGCTTGTGTGTCAGCTCCAGCTGCTAAGTGAGTGATTTTCCAGCAG